CCCCAAAACCCCAAAACCCCAAAACCCCAAAACCCCATTCACCAGGAATAGAAGGAATAAAGAGTAATTAGATATAATTAAATTAGTAAGTTTGTTACCCTATATAGAAAGCCAATTTCCTTTTTAAGAATGCGATCTCATAATTTAGTAATTATAATCAAATACACAAAGCATTAAGTACCATTAATAACACAGCCACTTAAATGTATCTAAGACAATCTATAATTGTGTTGCTTTTAATAGTCAGCACTACGATGATTCTGATCTAGCCGACACATGGTATACAAAGTAATTGAATGAAGAGAGTGTTCATTCAAAGCGAAGCTAACTCAGCCTAATCCACTCTTATCAAATAACCAGTATCATCAAATACCACTGCAGGTACTTTAAGTTAGAACAACAACTAAAAAGCAAGCACAACTTCAGTTAGCACAATTTCATCTGGAGGATCATAGGCATCCACTGCCAGTTCTAAAAATAGTGCTACCACAAATACTTTGCAACAATCGTTATAATAAAGCATACAGAGTTTGGGATACAGTGACTTGAATTGTGAAGTAATTTAGAAACCTCCTCCAGTTCCAACATAATAAGATTGCATCGTCAAGCAGGATATAGGAACTCAAGGACCTCCAGGACCACAAGGACCACAGGGATTGTAAGGTAAAGTTGGCCCACCTGGCCCACCAGGTAAAGATGGTCATGATGGATGTCCTGGACCAGCAGGACCACCAGGTCCACCAGGATGTCAAGGGCCAGAAGGTCCTCCAGGAGAGAAAGGATGCTAAGGTTTATAAGGACTACCAGGCTGTGATGGCTTGCCAGGATGTTAAGGACCAAAAGGAGAACCGGGCTGCTAAGGACTTGCAGGATGCTAAGGTTTATAAGGTTTGTGTGGAAATTAAGGTCCTCCAGGTTAATGTGGAGCTGAAGGGCCTTGTGGACCTCCAGGCCCTCCAGGATGTCAAGGACCAGAAGGACCTCCAGGATGCTAAGGTCCTAAGGGAGACAAAGGAGATTGTGGACCATAAGGTCCTCCAGGTATTTCAGGATGTTGTGGGCTATAAGGAATTCCAGGTGAATGTGGGCTCTAAGGCCTTCCAGGAATTGCAGGAGCTTGTGGCTTGCAAGGGCCACCAGGGCCACAAGGTCCATGTGGTCCTGCTGGTCCATGTGGTCCTCCAGGACCTCCTGGCCCGCCAGGTCCTCCTGGTTAACTTGTAATAAAATATGTACCACCTTAAAGATCTTGTGATGAATGGACTTAAAAAAGTAATTGCTTAGGATGCAAAGACCTAAAAGCAGAGTATGAATTTAGAATAAGCATGAAGAATCAAAACTACTTACTTAAGCAAATTATGGTTGTTGGAGGGCAAGGCTTTGAGGATTTATCAAAGATGACAGGCACAGTCACTTAATAATTAAACTGGGATGTGTTAGTAATAGATGAAAAACCCTCAAACTTCTTAAGTGGAATAAACGATTGGAGAGAATGCCCTCAAGGTAAATTTATCTGGTCTCTAATGAGAAACCCAGGCTCTGCAACAGTTATTAATTCATTAGGAATGATAAATGCAGCAAGATGTGCATATCCAAATGGTGTATCAGCAAGTGATAAGTACGGAAACTGCTATATAGATATAAGTCCTGATCCAAGTATTTAAAGATATGGTACAGCTGGCCCTGATCCAGATGGATATGATTACGGATGTTAAAGAGAAGGGTACTTCGTAGCTGGGTTCAAATTTTCAGGAAGTGGTCTTCTAAAGGCTGGCACTTTCACCTCCATTTCCTTTAAGTGTTGTACTCCCAGATTCTGACTCAATTTAATTAATCAAATTATGCAAGGGGAAATTTACAATTTTTTAGCTTATTTTAATTTTATCAATCAATAAAAAAACATTTCTTATTCCACTTAAATTTTCACTAACTAGCATTACGGGGTTTTGGGGTTTTGGGG